GTGTTTGGATCTTGTTGAGGACTGAATGGTGGGATATAAACTAAATAGCACAAATAATACAAAATGTCTGTAAAAGCTCCGGCTGCTTTGTGTAAAGCAATTCTTTTCATTCTCAGGAAAAGTTCTTGTCCATGGGAACGCGGGGATTTCTAGAAGGTAACAAGGCTCACTTGTTTTAAGAAAATATCCCAAAGCATGGCTGACATATCTTAACTTGCTTTTGTTGGTTTGTTTTCTGTTTTTCAGTGCTGCCTTAGTTATTGCATATATTATGGAAACATTTGGAGTGAAGTACAGGTACAGAAGTGATTTTAAACTGCTTTCCATCCCTTGGAGAGGATATTGGTCTTCAACCGCTGCGTCATGACATGGCCAAAATGGGAATCTTGAGTGATTCTACTGTAGAATTGGAAGGGACCACGAGGGCCATCTAGTTGTAGTTTGTTGTTAATGCAGCTCTCCATGTCTAGTGACTAGCTGAGTGGGACCCTGCTTTACAACAAGAAGGGATTATAAACAGTTGTACAACTTGATCACCTAAGTGTTTCAATATTGTGCAACTTTTTCAAAGGAAAAACTGCCCTAAAATACTGCAGACTGAAGTTGGCAATACAGTGGTACCTCTGGTTACGTACTTAATTCATTCCGGAGGTCTCTTCTTAACCTGAAGCACCACTTTAGCTAATGGGGCCTCCTGCTGCTGCCGTTGCCGCACAATTTCTATTCTCATCCTGAAGCAAAGTTCTTAACCCGAGGTACTATTTCTGGGTTAGCGGAGTCTGTAACCTGAAGCATATGTAACCTGAAGCGTCTGTAACCCAAGGTACCACTGTACAGGCTTATGTGCCTGTTGTGTTCTTTCAGTGCCAGGCCAAGTTATCCCTTCTCTCTCCCCTTTCTCAGCCTTTATGATGGTGGTGGTTGTTGTAACACTTGGTACTGGTGCTGTGACCTCTCCCAGCAAAAAGACCAAGATCTTTGAGTGAAAGGTGTGCATGTTCCCTCTGCACAGAACTTGCCTCCAATACTGTTTGCCTGCAGTATGCTCATGCCTTGTTACTCCTCCATCGTCACCTCAGCTGACATAGAGTGCAGTGCTTGCAGTACATCTGACTTTGGAATGACAGCCAGAGACAAAACAGGTCTTGGATATGCTGTAGGGCAAGGGAATTCTGGGGTTGAAACATCTGTAGAGAATTCTGATCCAAGTGAAGAGGGAGCCCCAGTGATGGCCTTATTACAAAGGATGGAGATGCAGCGAGAATTTCTTAGGGGTAATGGACTCTTGGGGATAAAGATTGGCTATGTGGGTCATCTGTTTCATGTTTTAATAGAGAACTTGAAGCCTGAGATAGATGAGGTTTGTGTGATGGGTCCCAAGCAAGCGAGCTTATGCACAATAACTCTGTCTTGGTCCAGTGAATGGAACATTTAGCCAGGCTCCCTGGATTTAAGTCCTACTTCTGCCTGGGGATCATTGTATTCTCAGCTTCAATTCCCCATCTGTGAAATAGGAGTGGCACTCAACATGGGACTGTTGTGAGGATGAAGACGATGAGTGGGGTGAGGTTTGAGTTTCAGTTGGCCTCTTCACTTCGGCAGGCCTCGCACAACAGATGTTCCCATTGAGTTGGCCCTCTGTTCAGTGTTTAATGCTTATAACATAAATTTCACATGTAACAGCAGGGTCAGTTCTCAGCATCTTCTATAAGGAAAACCTGTTTAAGTAACTAACTGGACCGAGTTGTTGCTGGCTGTAAGCCTTTATGGAGTTAAGCAGGTCTGGGCATGACTAATTCCTGAATGGGAGCCCTTGTATGTCATTCTAAACTTTTTGAAGGCAGAATACAGGCATAGCTAAACTGAAAGTAAATACCAAAAGAATGAGTCAGAAACCAAATGCAAACTGGTATTAAAGATGAAAATGGAGAATCTCTTTCTTGTAGGGATGCATTTACATACGTGCAAGAAAGAAGGTTTTGTATTAATCCCAATGCTGGATTTGTTCATCAACTTCAGGTAAGTTGTTTTCCTACCTGTTGATGATGTAGAAATATGATATTCATACTGATGATCTGGCCCTCCCCAAGTATCTGATATGCATTGGCTTAAATGAAAATCTTCATTATATCTTGCCTGGCTGTTTGGGGTGTTAATTGGTACATTACCGGTATTTGGCCTTTTCTATCATTTTGTTTGCTTTGATGCTGTACTGAGGATGTGAGCAATTCTAACAAATGTAAAATATGTAAAACAGAAGCATAAGATACCTAAAATTAATGATATTTAATAAACAACTTATCAGCTTTATGTTGATAACCACGTGGCCGGTGTAGAGCAGTAGGTCTCAACAGCAGGGGTCTCTGTGCCTTACATGGCTGAGCTTGAGGCAGGTGGCATAAAATCTCTTTGAGCCACAGTGTCCAAAATTCTCTCAGATGCCCCATTTCTGCTCTGCTCTGGTAGACCAGAACAAATAGACCAGGTGTACTCCTGGTCCATGTTGACTCTTGAGTAGCTCACTGGTGCCTGCCCCTAAACAGTGGGTGTGGCTTTCTGGAATTGCTCAGGTCAGCCAAATAGAAGCAATTACTTTTTTCCAGAACCACTCTTCCTCACCTCAGTTTCTTGCAATATTCCAGCCTTCATGGCTGTAAACATTTATGTTCCTTTAGCTGCCCTCCCGTTCTTTTTATCCAGGATCCCAGTGTCAGGTGAATTCTTGCCCATTTGTACCAATCCAGTCATTCTGTTGCTGCTTCATTTTGTATTTTATTTTTAGGAATATGAAGCCATCTATCTAGCAAAGTTAACTATCCAGATGATGTCTCCTCGGCAGCTGGAGCAATCACTGTCTGTCAGTACGGGTGAGCATATATTTCTGTGTAGCAGGGGCGGGGAAACATTTTCAGCCCAAGGGGCACATTTCCAGAGCAGTCACTGCCAAGCCTGCTTTCTCAAAGATTTGCATTGTAATCCCCTCTAAAACAAAGGGGGAAACCTTCCTTTCAGCAGGGAATTCCAAGCAGACTCCTTCCCGAGTCAGATTTGTATGCAATCCCTTGCTAACTGCTACCTCTGCCCAGAATAAAATAGGTAGTACTGGCGGTATGGACATCGTCTACCCTTCTTCATGTACATGTATTTCTCCCCTTCACTTGCTCCCAATACAAACCCCTCCTTAATTAGGAAGGTGTATGCATCAAAACGCCCTGCTAAAATGGGGGGGGGGACACATTGTTTTAGCAGCAACTGTCAAGGTCAAATTACCAACTTCTTGATGCCCTGTGATTGACAAGCATGCAGCCCCGCCCACCTGTCAAATGTGCCCCCCTAGTCCATTTCTGATGAGGTTCTAGCCTGTGGAATTGAAAAGGTTCCCCACGCCTACATCCAGAGTATGAGAACTACCACGAGAAGCTACTCAAATCTGATGGATTACTGATAGAAACCAACCTGGTTCATATTTGATTAAATCTATTTGAACTTCTTGTTATCTTGAGTTAATTCAGAAGTAGGAAGAGAAGCACAGGGAGACTGGCTGTTAATTATTTTTGGATGCTTAAAATGGGCAAAACATGGATAGAAAAATTGGCTTCTACTTGGCATTGTGCAGCAAAATGAAAATGTTTTGTGGAACAGGTCTGGTTCCACTCGAACCATTTTGGAAAGCTTGTTTCTGTCCTCTTAGCCACCTTCTCCACCTGCCCCACCTGTTTTGCAGGAAGTCTGAAACGAACCCATGAAGAGGATGAGGAAATCAGCAATATGCAAGCCGCAGCTCAGAACGGTTGACACCAAGGGCAGCACTCTGGACTTGCTGGCTGGAAATTTCTATTCATGGCAGCTGCTAACGTCAGCAAGATGAACAACCAGATCTATTTTTTATATATATAAAATGGGAGACGAGTCCAACTTCCTTATGCAAACCTGCCCCTCCAGTAGCACACCAGGCAACACGGTTAAGGGTATTGGATTCCTTGACTGACTAGATGGCACTGATTGTTTTGCTCCTTTTTTTTACACTTTATAGTTTTACCCTAAACCAAGACTTTGGACTTGCAAAGAGGTATTATTGCAATAATGCACTTTTCATACTTGAAATTTCTTTATTTGTATTGATAAAGTTATTACTTAAACAAAACGTGGGGGGAATGGTTTGTTTATAAAGTTATTTGTGTAATTTATAACAAGAGTCTTTAGTAAAAAAAGGAAAAGAATGAAAAGAAACAACTTCCTAAAATTCACTGTGGGTTGTATTTGTTTCATTTCCCAAAGCTTGAGGCAAAAGGAAACAAGTTTTAGTAGCTATTGGAAATCATTCTTTTGGCCATCATGAAGTCGTAAGAGCAAACTCAAGGTCTCTTCCAGATTAAATGGCTGCTCTTTGCTTGATCCTTTCTGGCTTTTCCCTGAAAGGCCTCCAAGAAGATAAATTTCCCCCAGCTTTATGAAAATCTGCAAGAATTGACTCCTAACAGGCAAATGCGGGTGTACAGCCTTACTGCTGAATGTAGCCTTCTAGCCATATTGCCAGTGTTTTTGGTTTTCTGTTCTTCAAACCTATACAGATGATTCATAATTTACGTGAGGCTTAAGGACGTACAGCCAAAATTACGCACAGCCAAAACAACCCTAAAACCGCCCCTGCAAGACCACCCCTACTGTTCTGGAGCTGGTGCACCAATCAGGCCTTGCTCCCTATGAAAGGCAGAGCGCTTTTAAGCTCTCCGCCTTACTTACCAGGCTCTGGGAGACTCTTGCGCCTTTCCCTGGCTATAGTTTAAAGGCCAATGGAATCGGCAATCTCATTTAGAACTTTAAGTTGTGGATTAGCCCCCCTCCACAGGTTATGGTCCACTTAACTTCAAACATGTTCTCCATCCAACAGTATTTAATTGTCCCCCGTGGATGAACTCTGCTAACACTTATCAAATCACCCAAGTAAAACAGCAGGCCAACTAGAGCACATCTAGACCAACGAAGAAGGAAGACCATAATTCAAAAGATTTTAACAGCCTCCATTTATTTATGTCTTAACAGTGCTTTTTAAAAAAACTGAATAAATAAACTTTAGTCACCCCCCAATAAAGTTTTTAGAGTACCACAAAATGCATGAAATCCGCTTACGGTAGCCCTCAGTAATATTTTATAAAGCTATGTACTCGACTACAAAAATTTTCTGCAGTGCCCTTCATTTGCTTGTAATGCCCAAGACTGCCCCCTTTCAAGCTGAAATGGTGGGAGGAAAGTTGTACCGTTATTGCCGGCTCATGGCAAGAAGTGCTAGGCTGCTTCATCTAAAGCCCCAAAGCATGGGGGAGCCTCTGAGATGTGGATTTGGGATCCGGAACATCTGCCGAGTGGGTTGGCATGGCAGAAGATTGCTTTTGCAAAGCATACATGTGATATAGCCCATGCTGGAAAAGAGGGCCCCTTGGCCCCACAGTCTTTTCACAGCTACAAGAGATAAGAATACAATATCTTAGAAATTGTACAAGCAATAATTTTTACCAATTGTGACTGCTAGAGGATTAATAGAACCACTCAGGCAGGCCGCTGCTCGACAAATCAGTCATTTCAGGGCTCTTCTGGTGCCCATGAAGATCTGAGGCGTACTAATGTCAAGACCAGTGACAGCCTGGTACAGACCTTACATTTCTCCTACCCACATGACTAAAAACCTGGCAAGTCAGTCCTGCCTCATTAACCACCACTAAATTGGCAATGCAAAGCAGCACAAGACTTAGAAAAATACAAGGCAAGGAAGGAATCAGGTAAAAATATAGCCTTTGGTTAAAAACCTCCACCCCCCACCTGGCAATAATCTTTCACATCCCAGCTAGCAAAAAGCATTAACAGTAGGAAATGGCTTCTAAAACGTTTCCTGTCAGCAAGGAAACCTAAATCAAAGTCTGCTGTACTGCATTTGTTGTCCCATCTCTGGAGGTGTTAATTTCATTTGCAGCCATTTGTTTTCCACAAAGAGAAAAGAGACAGTCCTCCACCAACAGTCCATTACATGAGATTACAGCTGGAAGTTCTTTAATTGAAGAATCTTTGATACATGTAGTTTTCTTCAGATACTGAATATCCAAATTTTTCATAGAAAGCAACATTTTTTGGCTGACATTCGAGAGTGATTTTGTAGCACTTCAGTCTCTTACTTAGCAATGTGAGAGTTGACATCAATCTAGAAGAAGAGGGAGAAGAAGAGTTAATAATCTTGTATCGCGTTAGGTTCACGTTGCGTCTTTTCGGCTTGCGAACGCGGTAAACCCAGAAGTGGATACTTTTGGGTTTCGTCGCGCGCACACAGAAGCATCCTGCATGCTTTGTGCATGCGTAGAAACATTCTGTGCGCTTCGCACATACACAGAAGTGCTCTATCGCACTCTGTGGTTGCGCAGAAGTGCCACTCTAGTTGCAGACTTTTCGGGGTGCGAATGGCAGCCCGGAATGGATCGTGTCCGCAACTAGAGGTACCACTGTACTCTGAAACAAACTATGGGTATACTCTTGCAAAAGGACGTCAAACTGCATGTACCAGGCAACCGTGAATCTATACATCAGCACTGCTGCTGCTGCCACCATGTCCAAATGGATAGTAGGAGCCACTTTACAGCAAAGGGGAAACAATAGGAAGCTCCCACTTTCCAACCCTAACCCTGAGTGGAAAGAGACAAGAATTTCAGAGGGAGAGAGTATACAGTAAGATGAGACAGATACCGTATTTTTCACTCCATAAGACGCACTTTTCCCCTCCAAAAAAAGTAAGGGGAAATGTGTGTGCGTCTTATGGCGCGGAGGCAGGCGGGAAAAGCCCCCAAGAGCCGCGTGCTCTTTAAAGGGTGCATGGCTCTTGGGGGCTTTTGCGGGATGTGGGGGAATTCCCTCACCTCGTAGAAAAGCCCCCAAGAGCCGCACTCCCTTTCACGAGCCGCGTGGAGCGTGTGTGCGGCTCTTGGGGGCTTCTCCCTCCTGGGGAAAGGCCTGCAACTGCCGCACACATGCTCCATGCGGCTCGTGAAAGGGAGCGCTGAGCAGAGCCTGGGATGCATATAGGCTCTGCTCAACGCTCCCTTTAAAAGAAAAAAAAATTCTTGCATTCCCCCTCTAAAAACTAGGTGCGTCTTATGGAGCGAAAAATACGGTACATTATTGTGAATTAATAAGGGAAGTCCAAAAGGAGTATCTTAACTAGGGCAGGGGTTCTCAAACATTTTCTCCGGGCCACATGTTCAGAATAAAAATTAGCTTGTGTCACACCAATTTTTTTTTATCGATAAATACATTGGAAATAGCGAAGCACGGCTATTAGCGGCTTAGGGGCTATTGACGGATTAGCGGCTTTAAGAAAAAGGAAACAAACTTGCAAGAACTCGCAAGACGTTTCGTCTTGCGAAGCAAGCCCATAGGGAAATTCGTCTTGCGGAACGACTCAAAAAGCAGAAAACCCTTTCGTCTAGCGAGTTTTTCGTCTTGCGAGGCATTCGTCTTGCGGGGCACCACTGTAATTTGTTCCAGAGGTCCATACTTAACCTGAAACTCTTCTTAACCTGAAGCACCACTTTAGCTAATGGGGCCTCCTGCTGCTGCCACTCCGCCAGAGCACAATTTCTGTTCTCATCCTGAAGCAAAGTTCTTAACCTGAAGCACTATTTCTGGGTTAGCAGAGTCTGTAACCTGAAGCGTATGTAACCTGAAGCGTATGTAACCCGAGGTACCACTGTATAAGACAGCTCTTTATGTTCCCATAAGCCCAACGCTCCCAGCTACGGCATCACACTTCCGGAAGTGCTTAAGAGACTCAAATCAGGGGGATGAAGCTGTGGTCCACCAGATCAACTCTGACCATACGTCATACTGGGCGCGGCTGGTGTGTATCGGTCCAACATCATTTGGAGACCCACACATTCCCCATCCATGGGCAAAGGGTATGAGCTGTAAAATTGCTGATTCAAGTGTTAAGAGAACTTGTCATAGAGCTAAGTGGTTTTCAAAAAGCCACTTCCCTCAACCTCACTCCTGGAATAGAGGGATAATACCGGCCCCATATTACAGAATGGTTGTAAAGAATGAATATGACTAGTTTGGGATGCTAGAAAGGCATTACATAAATATCAATTTATTGCTTTAGAAGTTTAGCCTTGCAGAATGTGTGTTTGGGGGAGAGCGTCAGACACCATTGGTGATTTTTATTTCTATTGTTATTTTTATTAAATTTCTGTATCGCATGGCAGGGTAAGGGGCAGCTTAAGCATAACAAGAACAACACACCCCTCCACAGTTTAAAAGGCCATAGCTTCTTAATCCGCCAAAGCCTGGGAGAAGAGGAAAGTTTTGGGGCTTAAAAATATGTAATGAAGGCGCCAGTGAGCCTCCCTGGGAAGAGAATTCCACAAGTGGGGAGGCACCTCGGAAAAGGCCCGTTCTCATAGAGGAGGCACACAAAGAAAGGCCAGAATGCTTGTAAGGACTGGGTTGGTTCATATGGAGAGAGGTGGTCCTTGCTCACTTAGGTCTTGTGGGGCATGTAATAATAATAATAATAATAATAATAATAATAATAATAATTTTTATTTATACCCCGCCCTCCCCAGCCAAGGCTGGGATCAGGGCGGCTAACAAGCAATAATAAAAATAAGTTTAATGAATACAACTTAAAAACAAAATTAAAATACAACATTGAAATATTGAAATATTAAAATGTAGCCTCATCGCAGGAGGAGAAAGGAAAATAAAAAAGAAAGAGGGGGAGGGAATCAAATTGGCTCCAAGCCAAAGGCCAGGCAGAACAACTCTGTCTTACAGGCCCTGCGGAAAGAAATCAGATCCTGCAGGGCCCTGGTCTCATGAGACAGAGCGTTCCACCAGTGTTGAAAAGGCCCTGGCTCTGGTTTAAGCTAATCTAACTTCCTTAGGGCCCGGGACCTCTAGGGTGTTGCTATTTATGGACCTTAAGGTCCTCTGTGGGGCATACCAGGAGAGGCAGCTGGCACCGCTCCCCACAACCCGGCTGGTAAGCTACTACAGACGATTAACAGCCACTTACAATTTCCCAAGTTGTTTTCCTCTGCATTCTCCGCTTACAACAACGTCTTCTATTCTTCCCCTCTGTGAAGACAGGCAATACCACTTAGCCGCTGAGTACTAGAAAGTGCCAGAACTTATTCACAGCAAGAGTATTTCCCGCACTACCCAACATACCTTTGCACACGAGTGAGTAAACTTGTGTTCTATGACTAAAGTTGCAGTAGCCACAATCTCTCCTAGAATAGTATCTTCCACTACTGTAACGTAGTAGTCCCCAGAACTCTTCATGTGTTCGAATGTTTCTAGAAAATACAGGTAGGAGCATTCTTGATAAGAGGATCTACATTCCCCTGGTATGAGGTTTTCCTATAGCTCTGCTCAGGTTTGCATACCCAGATTATTATTATTATTATTATTATTATTATTATTACTACTACTACTACTACTACTACTACATACATGGGACACGGGTGGCGCTGTGGGTTAAGCCACAGAGCCTAGGACTTGCTGATCAGAAGGTTGGCGGTTCGAATCCCCGCGACGGGGTGAGCTCCCGTTGCTCGGTACCAGCTCCTGCCAACCTAGCAGTTTGAAAGCACGTCAAAGTGCAAGTAGATAAATAGGTACCGCTCTGGCAGGAAGGTAAACGGCGTTTCCGTGCTCTGCTCTGGTTCGCCAGAAGCGGCTTAGTCATGCTGGCCACATGACCCGGAAGCTGTACGCCGGCTCCCTCGGCCAATAAAGCGAGATGAGCGCCGCAACCCCAGAGTCGGCCACGACTGGACCTAATGGTCAGGGGTCCCTTTACCTTTACCTTACTACTACATACTTACTTACTTACTTACTTACTTACTTACTTACTTACTAAATTTGTATACCACCCTTCATATGAAGATCCCAGGGCAGTTGACAACATAAAAATACAAAATGGGAACACAAAATACTTAATAAAACAAAAGCAAAACAATAACCCCCGCTCCCACAAAGACATTTAAAAGGCCCTAGAATGTTCAATCAGCCAAAGTTATAGTTATAACTTTGTTATAAGAAAGGCCTAGTTATAGAGAAACGATTTTGCCTGGCACCTAAAAACGATCTGCCAGAATATACTGCACCTAACCCTTGACAAGCAGGTGAATAGAATGTGAGGGTCTCTTACGGGAAAGGCAAGCAACAGTGATGTGTAATTGTCGATGTAGTCAAATGTATAGGCTGCCCAATGACCGGGTTCCCCCTGCTTTTTTTTGCTACTTAAACCACTCCTCACACCCATGAACACAAGATTTACCAACAAGGCATCTCTTTTCGAAGCCAAGCAAGGTCGGTGAGACAGCTGCACTGAAGCAAACCCCCTGTTCTCTTCCTCCAAGCTGCAAAATACAACAAGGTACTCACTGATGAATTGCTCAGGGCTGGCACTTCCCGTTTCAGTCAATTGACCTAAAACTTTTAAAAAGCCTGCAAGGGAGAGAAAGAGTTTGCATAAATGTATTCTTCAAGGCAAGCACAAAACTCGATATTCAAGTAGAGATTCCACAAGTAGTGTCCACAATTCAGTGTCTGGAGTGATGTGGGAGACAAGAACCAAGAAGTCACTACAGTTTTTCAAGTGTAGTGAAATGGGCAAGATTTTTAGACAGCCCTTCAGCAAAGCTATCAGGGCAGCATAGAATAAAGTTAATAAAAACACCGCCCAAAATGGAAAATCACACAAACTAGCAGAGGAGAGGAACCACACAAAACCTAGCAAAGCGGATAGAGTGCTTTCTACATTCAGAATTATTTTTCTTTGACAATCACTCGTACCCTTCCATTAACACAGAATTATTTTAAGCCCCTCCTATCCAAGACCAACAGTCCTGCTCTTCTTGCAATGCATTTTCTACAAAACTATCCACTGTAAGACTTAATATTTTGCTCTGGCTGTTGTCCTCAAATGCAGTCCTGGGTTACGATGTGCATATGTAGCCTTTGAGTTCAAGTGGACTTAGGCGTTCAGAGAAAAGTGAGCTGTACCTTTGTTGATGTCGGCAATGCAAAGTGGCCGCAAAACTAAACCACTGCCCGGTTCCACAGGAGAAATAGCAGGGGAAAACGTCACAGTATTCTGACTCCAGTCCAGTTCCTGAAGGAGGCAAGGGTCATACAGTGGCATGGTGTCAGGCTTTACTGTTGCCGCAGGCATCATGGCAGCTGAGACTGCAAGTGGCGTACTGGAATTAAAAAACACAATGATTCACATTTGGAAATAGTTTAGCGTTTCTATGTTTCTTGCTCGTTTTAAGTTTATTTACTGCCTTTCTAACCCCATGCAGTTACTCAGTGTGGCTAACAGCTGTTGGGTGTTTCAGTCCTTAGGCTAGCCTTAAATAATGCCAAACTGACCTTCGTCTTGTCCTAAACTTTCCAGGCAGCCTATGGCTCTGCTCCTAATTTTGACTTGCCTTCTGTCCCAGTGCGAGGATTTGAAGGTCCCTTTCCCAGGCTGTATAGCAGAAGTAGGGAACCTAATTTTGACTTGCCTTCTGTCCCTGTTGCTCCTCTTCCAAGTATCTTTTAAACTAGCCACATTCCTTACTTTAACTCACAGCTAAAACATAAAATCGTAATAATGCATGTGATTCAAAGATACCATCTAAAAATATTTGACACTTGTACCGAAACTTTCATATATACATTCCATATCAATGCCACCCTTCTGAAATGTAAGATAAATAAGAACATGATTGCATAGCAGCCTATTACCTTGATGTCTCTGACGCAACAAAAGGTTAACGTTAAAGCAATGTTTATTTTTTCATCAGACAGGTTCTTTGAACTAAAAAATACACCAGGATCTGGGGTTAAACAAACACCCCAAGCGCAGAATATGAACTTTTAGATAACCGTGTTTGTGTTTGGAGGGCCTTCTTTTCTCAGGGGAACAAAATTATAAAACATTTTACAGAGCAAGGGCTACTATCATTCATACTGTAATTTGTGCAGACCACAGAATTACAAGAAATTAGCATTATTCCAGCCAAGAGAGTGAGCTTTCTCTTAATAGTCTGCCTAAGGCTAGTCATCTCTGCAAAGACTGAAAGTAGGTAGCCAATTTCATCTTTCCCCTTTTGTGTATCAGCAGGCAAGAGGGAAGGGTCTTGTATACACCAACGATCATTTTCCCACGCTAATGTTCATAAGCCAAAAGGAGTGCCAGCAGAACTCACTGCACCAATTCTTGGCTACCCTTAACACGTGATCTATAAGGTGATCCAGACTAAAACTTCCATCATTGCTGACCACGCTGGCTGGGGCTGGTGGGACCTGTAGTTCAAAACATCTGGAGGGCAGCAGGTAGGGAATCTACAGAATGCAAAGTGTGAAGGCGAGGATTCAAAGGTCCCTTTCCCAGGCAGTATAGCAGAAGTAGGGAACCTGTGGTCCTCCAAGTGTTGTTGACTCCAACTCCCATCAGCCCCAGCCAGAATGGACAGTGAAAGGGATGATGGGAGCTGGAGTCCAAGGGCACCTTGATCACAGCTTCCCCCATCTTAATAATAATAATAATAATAATAATAATAATTTTATATTATTTATATATATACAGTGGTGCCTCGCAAGACGAAATTAATTCGTTCCGCGAGTTTTGTCGTCTTGCGATTTTTTTCGTCTTGCGGAGCACGGTGTCGGGAAAGTTTTGGAAAAGCTTCAAAAACCTCAAAAAGCTTTAAAAACCTCAAAAAAGGCTACCACACCGCTTGCTATGAGTTGCTCCTCGAAGTCAAGTCGCAACTGTATTAACGGTGTTAAGAAAAAGGAAACAAACTTACAAGACGTTTCCGTCTTGCGAAGCAAGCCCATAGGGAAAATAGTCTTGCGAAGCAGCTCAAAAAACAAAAAACCCTTTCGTCTAGCAAGTTTTTTGTCTTGCGAGGCATTCGTCTTGCAAGGTACCACGGTACACACACACACACACACACACACACACACACTGCCCTCCCCGGCCAGAGCCGGGCTCAGGGCGGCTAACACCAATAAAATTACAGTAAAACATAATAGGGGAAAACAAACAAAAACCAGTTTATTAAAATACGGGTTAAAATACAATTTAAAACGCAGCCTCATTTTAAAAGTAGCCCATAAATCAAAACAATAAGGGGAGGGAAACATAAAGGTCAGACTGAGTCCAAACCAAAGGCCAGGCGGAACAGCTCTGTCTTGCAGGCCCTGCGGAAAGATGTCAAGTCTCAGAGGGGCCTGGTCTCTTGGGACAGAGAGTTCCACCAAGTCGGGGCCAGTGCTGAAAAGGCCCTGGCCCTAGTTGAGACCAACCTAACCACCTTGCGACTAGGGACCTCCAAAATGTTGTCATTTGTGGACCTTAAGGTCCTCCCCGGGGCATACCAGGAGAGGCGGTCCCATGGGTATGAGGGTCCTAGGCCGCATAGGGCTTGAAAGGTCAAAACCAGCACCTTAAACCTGACCCTGTACTCCACCAGGAGCCAGTGCAAACCACTGGTGGAACCAGGAGCACTTAAAAAAAATTTTTTTTTAAAAAAACAACCATTTATAAACTGATTCACAGCCTGGAGTTATTAAGGCAGTACACAGTATGACAAAATAAGTTCATCTGTGTGATGTGTCATTGGAATGGGGTGTCTGCTGTTCATAGGAAGAGTCAAGAATTCCACTGGCCAAATCCAGACCTAAAGCTATGCAAGCCCTCTTTTCTTGATGCCCACACCTCTGTTGCAGGTGTACGGATCCCTGTTCAACCTACAGAAATAAGTTCTGCAGTTGAGTCAACCGTTAAGGGTGAGAATGAAATGAAGGAAATGTTTGCTATAATGTGAAGAAAGCAAACAAGGAAATAGCTGGCTACATTTTGCATCCGTGTACTTTTGTAGAAAAGTGGGTGTGAATTCATAGTTATCCTTCTCGTCTGACTTGGCACACCATTCCTAAAGGAGCAACCCCATCCTGTCATTTGAGCTCAACTCTCTTTGGCTGACAGAATTACATTTTAAGGTACCCCTGCCCGTACGGGCCAGTCTTGACAGACTCTAGGGTTGTGCGCCCATCTCACTCAAGAGGCCGGGGGCCAGCGCTGTCCGGAGACACTTCCGGGTCACGTGGCCAGCGTGACATCGCTGCTCTGGCGAGCCAGAGCCGCACACAGAAACGCCGTTTACCTTCCCGCTAGAAAGAGGTCCCTATTTATCTACTTGCACCCGGGGGTGCTTTCGAACTGCTAGGTTGGCAGGCGCTGGGACCGAGCAACGGGAGCGCACCACGCCGCGGGGATTCGAACCGCCGACCTTTCGATCGGCAAGCCCTAGGCGCTGAGGCTTTAACCCACAGCGCCACCCGCGTCCCTCGAATTACATTTTACTGGATATTTATTTCAGAAATGTAGATTTACTCTGCCATGAAGCTCGCTGCATGACCTTGGGCAGTTGCTGTCTCCAAGTTTAACTTTAGCCTATTTTGCAGGGTGGTTGTGACAATTAAACAGAATTGTGTGCGTCACCTTGTGCTCCTTGAAGGAAAGGTGGGATATAAATGTCATAATAAATAATAATAATAAATTTTTATTTATATCCCGCCCTCCCCAGCCGAAGCCGGGCTCAGAGCGGCTAACAACAACAAAAGTAACACAGTTTACATAAAATCACAATCAATTTATTAAAATGCATTCTAAAATCAATTCATTCTAAAATCAATTCAAAATCAAATTAATGGCAACCATTGGGCCAGAGTTCTATGAGGAATACCGAAGGAGGGGGTCAGACTGTGCCTTGGCCAAAGGCCTGGTGGAACACCTCCGTCTTGCAGGCCCTGCAGAAAGATGTCAAGTCCCGCAGGCCCTAGTCTCTTGTGACAGAGCGTTCCACCAAGTCGGGGCCAGTGCTGAAAAGGCCCTGGCCCTAGTTGAGACCAATCGAACCACCTTGCGTCTTGGGACCTCCAAGGTGTTGTCATTTGTGGACCTTAAGGTCGTCCGTGGGACATTCCAGTACGTGGGTCCTAGGCCGCATAGGGCTTTAAAGGTTAAAACCAGCACCTTAAACCTGATCCTCCACTCCACCGGGAGCCAGGGCAGCTGGTACAGCACCGGGTGAATGTGATCCTGCGGCGAGGACCCCGTAAGGAGTCTCACCACGGCATTCTGGTGTCTGGCTGTTAACCCAAAAGTTGGTGGTTTGAGTCCCCCCCAAGGACGGCTAAGGGCAGGATTCCTGCATTGCAGGGGGCTGGACTAGATGACCCCTGGGTCCCGTCCAACTCTACGATTCTAAGAATAACCCATAAGAACAGGCCAAAGATCTGCCTGGTCCAGCATCTCGTTCTCACGGGTGCCAAGCAGGTGCCCCACTGGAAAGCCCACAAGCAGGAGTGAGCTTCTTTCCTTGCCAGCTCTGACAACTGGGAGGCCAGACAGACGCTTTCTTCAACCCCCACAACAACCCTGTGAGGAAGGTTAGGCTGAGAGGCAGGGAATGGCCCAGGGAGAGCTTCATGGCCAAGGGAGGATTCGCACCCTGGTCTCCCATGTCCGAGTCCGAAACTCTTAGCCACATAGATATATAGATATATGCATAGATATATAGAAACTTGGAGAGTCTTTCTATAGGAAGTGTGCATGCACATGAATATACACAGAATAAACTTAGCTGGTCTCTAAGATGCTACTGGGCAATTTTTTAATTTATTTCGGGAGAGTCTTCTAGCCATGGAACCTGCATTTGAAGGCTGTTTCTCACCCTGGGCATCAGCTAATCCAGCTCCACAGCAGATCGTATCTGAATCAGTTTATGTGCCCAATATGCATTTCTGCCACAGATCACTCGGGTGTAGCAACAAGGAAGGTTCAGGGGAGCATCTTGCAAAGAAAACGTGCAAATAAGAGGCAAGTGCCCACACAGCCCTGCTGCCCGGGGGCTGCGATCCCAGACTGGCACTTGCCATAGCTGTCAACTTTCAGATTTGAAAATAAGGGATCAGCAGCATTGAAAATAAGGGATCCGCAGCCTCACCTGTCCCGGGGAGCCTCGAAAGTAAGGGATCGCCAGCCTCACCTGTCCCAGGGAGCCTCGAAAATAAGGGATCGCCAGCCTCACCTGTCCCAGGGAGCCTCGAAAATAAGGGATGAGCAGCCTCACCTGTCCCAGGGAGCCTCGAAAATAAGGGATCGCCAGCCTCACCTGTCCCAGGGAGCCTCAAAAATAAGGGATCGCCAGCCTCACCTGTCCCGGGGAGCCTCAAAAATAAGGGATCGCCAGCCTCACCTGTCCCGGGGAGCCTCAAAAATAAGGGATGAGCAGCCTCACCTGTCCCGGGGAGCCTCAAAAATAAGGGATGAGCAGCCTCACCTGTCCCGGGGAGCCTCAAAAATAAGGGATGAGCAGCCTCACCTGTCCCGGGGAGCCTCAAAAATAAGGGATGAGCAGCCTCACCTGTCCTGGGGAGCCTCGAAAATAAGGGATCCGCAGCCTCACCTGTCCCGGGGAGCCTCAAAAATAAGGGATGAGCAGCCTCACCTGTCCTGGGGAGCCTCGAAAGTAAGGGATCGGCAGCCTCACCTGTCCCGGGGAGCCTCAAAAATAAGGGATGAGCAGCCTCACCTGTCCCGGGGAGCCTCGAAAGTAAGGGATCGGCAGCCTCACCTGTCCCAGGGAGCCTCAAAAATAAGGGATGAGCAGCCTCACCTGTCCCGGGGAGCCTCGAAAGTAAGGGATCGGCAGCCTCACCTGTCCCAGGGAGCCTCAAAAATAAGGGATGAGCAGCCTCACCTGTCCTGGGGAGCCTCGAAAGTAAGGGACCAGCAACCTCACCTGTCCCAGGGACAGTCTACGGGATAGCAGCGGGAAACGTCTCTGGAATAAGGGAATTTCCAGCAAAAAAAGGGAAGGTTGACAGCTATGGCACCTGCCATGCTACAAACCCCCCCCTCCTCCAAGAGCTTACCTGGGAGGCGCCGCCACACCTGCAACGGAGGGGCCAACCTGGCAGGGTCCCTGCAATCCTTGAGGCAACTGGCCGGATTTTATCCCCCGCCCCTAAGAAGCGAGAGGTTCAAAAGGGAAGAAGTATTGGCTCGCCTGGGAGCCCCCTTCCACCTGGCGGACGGGCTAGTCGCCCGGCGCTCTGCCCATGCTCAGAGGCGCTCTCGTCCCTCCGTGGTTCCATAGGGCTCTCCCCGTCTCCTGCCCCCCCCCGTTGATTTACTGCCCCCTCACCCACGCGCGCCCACGTCCCCCGCGCACTTACCCTCCGCGTGCACGCGCCGCGCTCTCCCGCCTTCTCTCCTCCCCCCCCCCCCTCGCGAGACGCCGGCTGAGGGGAGAAGCGGCGATGAGGCGCCTCCCAGCGCGCAGGCGCAGGATCCCGTGCGGCGGGCGTAGCTGTGACTGACGTGGCGGCTCGCCGGGGGGGCGGGGCCCGGAGGCCGTGGAAAAGGAGCCAATCGGGAAAGGGCGCTCCTTGCCTAGCCCCGCCTCTTTTCTCACTCGCTCGCTCCATCTCCTCCCGCAAGGGCCGAAGAATGCCAGGCTGGCCAGTGCGCATGCGCTCTGCCTCTTAAGGAAGGCAAGCGGGGCGGGGAAGGTGGAATGCCGAACGCCCCGGGGCGCGCATGCGTACTGCTTTCCATGGGTCAGCGTGGTCCGGTTCAAAAGCGCGTTATATTTAAACGTCGTTGTTCTTGTTATCGCCATTACTGCTATTATTGCTATTATTTATTGTTGTTGTTGTTGTTGTTACTATGTATCATTTATTTATTTATTTATTTATTTATTGAATCAGAGAGAAGGCATGAATTAAACATTACATCCAAATAATTCAAAAAGAAAGAGAAAAAAATACAAAAGGTAAAAATATAAAAAGGAAATAAAAGGGAAAAAAAGGAAAAATAATAAATAAGGAAAAAGGAAAAAGAATTAGTCAAGTACACAAAATTGTTCAAAATTGATACAAAAAGTAATTTGAATATTCCATAAGCCGGGTTCTCAGAAATAAATTACATTTGCAATCCTTCTTTTCTTTCTTTCTTTAAAGTCACTTTCTGTTCCGGAAAACTAGTTTGCATCCCTGCTATATTAGTTGACTTCCCTCTATCTCTTTGCAGCTTCAACGCTTCTCTTGAGTGACAAATATTCTGTATTCATTTATTCAAATCAGTTTTTTCCCATTATATCTGGGAGATTAATCTTAAGCACAACCAAGTAGTGTTTGTTTGTGTTTTACTATATATCTTCTAGTGCGGTGCTTCCTACGCTTTGGAACTCCCTGCCTCTTGATAACCGAGCCTACCCAGATACCTAGAAAGCTGGCGTGCGTTTTGGATTTATAGAAATCATAGAATTGGAAGGGACCTCCAGGGTCATCTAGTCCAACTCCCTGCCATGCAGGAATCTTCTTGGCCAAAGCGTCCATGACACCACAGAGGGAGAGGAGCCATGCTTGATCTCTCCTGGGATCCAAGGCTATGGGAGAAGCAAGACCTCCTGGGACGTTGAGGCATATGTGTAAATAAAGCGTAGATCCTGAGACACCGCAGTCTCGGCTCTGTCTCATTCCAAGGACAAACAACCTTGGGCAAGTGCCTGAAACCCCTGAAATCTCATCCTGCTTGGATAATGGGGTGGTGTGAAACACTAATTTTAATTTTCTTAATGTTTTAATTGTTTTTACTAATAATTGTATTGTTCTTTTTGTAAAGTGCTTCGAATGGGGTTTTTATTCCAATCAAGCGGTATACACATTTTTTGGAATGAATAAATATTATATTATTATTATTATTATTATTATTATTATTTATTAGCGGCTATCCTATCTTTGGGATGCGGGTGGCTCAGTGGGTTAAACCACAAAGCCGAGAACTTGCCGATCAGAAGGTCGGCAGTTCGAATCCCTGCAATGGGGTGAGCTCCCGTTGCTCGGTCCCTGCTCCTGCCAACCTAGCAGTTCGAAAGCACGTCAAAGTGCAAGTAGATAAATAGGTACCACTCTGGCGGGAAGGTAAACGGCGTTTCCGTGCGCTGCTCTGGTTCGCCAGAAGCGGCTTAGTCATGCTGGCCACATGACCCAGAAGCTGTACGCTGGCTCCCTCGGCCAGTAAAGCGAGATGAGCGCTGCAACCCCTGAGTTGGCCACGACTGGACCTAATGATCAGGAGTCCCTTTACCCTTTACCTATCCTATCTTTAAAAGACATCTGAAGGGTTTAGGGAAGTTTTTAATATTTAATGTTGTATTGTTTTTAACACTCGATTGGGAGCCGCCCAGAGTGGCTGGGGAAACTCAGCCAGATGGGCAGGATATAAATATTATTATTATTATTATTATTACTACTACTACAACTACTACTAAAAATAATAAGTCATAGTAATGAATATGATTGTGTCTGATGCTTTACAGAGGAACCAAAATCAAGTAGATCTGCCCCAAAGAAATAATAATAATAATAATAATTATTATTATTATTATTATTATTATTTATTTATTTATTTATTTATACCCCCACCCATCTGGCTGTTACAGTTTAAAAACCGCTAAAAGTATTTCCCTTCTCCAATATTGGCATCTTTCTTGTTTGTGGGAGAAGAGCCATCGCTAAACGCAAAATGAAAACACTTTCCCCCTTCTTGAGCCCCAGCGTGTCATTTGGGTGTTTTTCACAATTCCTCCGTTTTGGTGAGTCATCTTCCAGTGCTTTGGTGACTCAGCTTCTGGCGTGGGGAACCCCCAGACACACATTTGCCTATGAGGGACACACCCGGGAAATCACTTCCATGGCCAGCATCACCATAGCTCCCTTCTCCGCTTCTCCCTCGGCAAGAGGAAAGAATTCATATATGGAGTTCTCAAGACATTCCAGAAACCTGTAGCCCAGGAGGGAATCCGAGTAGGGAGGGAAAGAGGGACGAAGGCTGCATAACCCCTGGCCATCCTTCAAGGCACCCCAGGGTGCCACAGCCCACTGGTTGAAAGCCACTGATTTAGAGCATTTATACCCTGCTATTCAGGGACGCAGGTGGCGCTGTGGGTTAAACCACAGAGCCTAGGACTTGCCAATCAGAAGGTTGGCAGTTCGAATCCCCGCAACGGGGTGAGCTCACGTTGCTCGGTCCCTGCTCCTGCCAGTTCGAAAGCACGTCAAAGTGCAAGTAGATAAATAGGTACCGCTCCAGTGGGAAGGTAAACGGTGTTTCCGTGCGCTGCTCTGGTTTGCCAGAAGTGGCTTAGTCATGCTGGCCACATGACCCGTAAGCTGTACGCCGGCTCCCTCGGCCAATAAAGCGAGATGAGCACCGCAACCCCAGAATCGGTCACGACTGGACCTAATGGACCTACCTTTACCTTTACCTACCCTGCTATTCAAGCCAAAATGACTTCCGGCCCCAGATGACTTAAATATGGTCCCTTTCCAGGGTCGGATTTAGGTTCAGTGCGGCCCTAAGCTCCTGAAGGTAATGGGGCCCTTTCGATGTCCAGCTGTCCTTTGTCAACAACAAATTGTCACTGTTTTTTGTGTTGAATATATGCTATACAGTCATACCTCAGGTTGAAGTTGCTTCAGGCTGAACGTTTTCGAGTTGCACTCCGCGGCGACCCAGAAGTAACGGAATCCGTTACTTCCATGTTTTGCAGCTTGCACATGCGCAGACACTCAAAACGATGTCACACGCCTGCGCAGAAGCGGCAAATCGCGACCCGCACACGCACAGACGTGGGTTGCATTCACTTCAGGATGCGAACAGGACTCCAGAACAGATCATTACAAAAGACTGGCCAGGCTCCCCAGGGTATCCAATCAAGTGAGCATTAACAGGTCACCTGTCAGACGAGATAAACAATGCACTCAGATTTCTGCTGTAGACCGCCTTTTCTGTGATGTATGTATGATGTATGGAGGGGTGGTCTTGAGCTCCGGGGCAGGGAATTTAAAATGTCTATATAAGGGCGGGCACACCTTTGTTCTGGGTTCCTCCTCCTTTCCTGCGTGTGAGGGGAGCACCCTGTTGCAGCAGATCAATAAAGATCAGGCTTACGAGCTGCTTTGCTTCTCAATACTCTCTGGTTGGCCTCTGTTATTTTCTCCTACCAATAGGGAACCTACGTAAGGACTCTATATGGGCTCTTGGATACCCCATAAGGGAAAAAAGGGCAGATTTTTGTTTACAGCAGAGACAGCCTAGTCGCTGGTACCCCACCCATCGCAATGCTCCCTTCTGAGTCAGAGTCTTTAGCACCGGCCAGGATAGCCACCAGAAGCAGAAGAGGAGGAATGACTCTTGGATGTTCTGGAAACCAGTCTTTTGGACGTACGAAGCACACCCAATTTCGCAAGTTTGGTTTTGGCGGAAATGTTCAACTCTGTTTGTGTTCTGTTTTGGAGACGGGCGTCTGGAGCTCGGATACTCTGCGGCTTTGTCTAACTTCATCTGTCACATATTTCCCCCCTGCAACTGATTTCCTTCAATGCAAAAGACTTCTGCGAGCCTCGGGGGAAATCTGAAGAACGCAGGATGTAAAAAGAGGGTGCTGGATCAAGCCAGCTCCCATCATCCCTAATGATGCTCTTCGTATATAAAGCCCTTAGCACCATCACTGGTCCCATCACCTCCTGGCAAATAGAAGGGGAAGAAATGGAGGCAGTGAGAGATTTTACTTTCTTGGGCTCCTTGATCCCTGCAGATGGTGACAGCAGCCACGAAATTAAAAGACGTCTGCTCCTTGGGAGAAAGGCAATGGCAAACCTTTTGACTTATGCTTTTGACTTATGGTGCTGGAGGAGACTCTTGAGAGTCCCATGGACTGCAAGAAGATCCAACCTCTCCATTCTGAAGGAAATCAGCCCTGAGTGCTCACTGGAAGGACAGATCCTGAAGCTGAGGCTCCAAGACTTTGGCCACCTCAGGAGAAGAGAAGACTCCCTGGAAAAGACCTTGATGTTGGGAAAGATGGAGGGCACAAGGAGAAGGGGATGACAGAGGATGAGATGGTGGGACAGTGTTCTCAAAGCTACCAGCATGAGTTTGACCAAACTGCGGGAGGCAGTGGAAGACAGGAGGGCCTGGCGTGCTCTGGTCCAGGGGGTCACAAAGAGTCAGACAAGACTAAACAACTAAACAACATGGGACCGGTTTGCTTGCAGATCACCTGACC